AGATTCACAGGACATAACTTTAGATTCACAGGACATAACTTTAAATACACAGGACATAACTTTAAATTCACAACACATAACTTTAAATTCATAGGACATAACTTTAAATTCATAGGACATAACTTTAAATTCACAGGACATAACTTTAGATTCACAGGACATAACTTTAGATTCACAGGACATAACTTTAGATTCACAGGACATAACTTTAAATTCACAACACATAACTTTAAATTCATAGGACATAACTTTAAATTCATAGGACATAACTTTAAATTCACAGGACATAACTTTAGATTCACAGGACATAACTTTAGATTCACAGGACATAACTTTAAATTCACAGGACATAACTTTAAATTCACAGGACATAACTTTAAATTCACAGGAAACAACTTTAAATTCACAGGACATAACTTTAAATTCACATGACATAACTTTAAATGCAGCACTGTATCGACCAAACATTTTGAGCGGAATATACTGGCTACAATTTAGATGGGACAACTGTGAACAGAAACGGACAAGAACAAAGTCATCATACTTATATCAGGGGGAAATTCTTCTCCACGGGGTTCTCCACACTTCCCAGGGGGAATCTCGTCTCGTCTCTATATCTCGTCCCCTTGAGGTATGGGATCGGGAAAGTCACTTAAGCTTTACAGTCAAATAAGACACACACAACGAAATACGTTTCAGCTCTCGTCTTAGTCGGTCAATCGAGCACTCTATAAGACACAGCGCCCTGGGGAAAAATCCCCAAGACTATCGCAAGGCTGACCCAAGACTCTCTTTTAGACTGCATCAACACTCGCCCCAAGGCTCTCCAGGACTGCTCTCGACTGCGTCTATCGTGGAGTCCTCCCCAAGACCAACTCAAACTCTCTTTATTCATTTTCAAAACTCTAACCAATTACAAAGCAGTAAAAAGACTGTAGGGCGTAACCTTCAATCATAAAGCCAATCACACTAAGTACTGAATACGTCATATCTTTTGATTAATCGTTCATTACATTAATAACTATGGATACCAACTGTCAGAATGAGTAGTCAGAATAGCGACGGTTATCTGCAATTAGTTCCAAATCACTGAGCCAAGTTCCGTCCAAAACTTCAAATAGGCCTAAACGATGACAGACATAACACAGCAATTCGCTAATAATCAGCTAATTAAGTCGGTCAACAGATACGCAAAAACAAATTCATGACACTTACATTAACAATTAATAAGGCACTGCCCGGAATAGTTGTTACACAATAATTGGAAACGCATCGTACTTTATTTGCAAATAATGACAATTTATGTACTCTAATGCATATATATGTGACATGTATTCCTTTATTACTCCGAATTGACGGCATTTTGATACATACATACATGTATGTCACTATTATTCTCATTACAGTCAACCAACGTCAGCCCACTACAGTTGATATCGCGTCATATTCTCAAAACCCACTACCACCAGTTTACCAACAGGGAGCACCATCATATGAATAACCAATGCCAGAAATATGCAACGAATATGAACATTTTAATGATTGTTTACATTAATTATGTAATATTGTCATTGTGTCGTTAGCTGAGGTGCAGTCAATGAAGATAGATGTTTATTGAACAAGCTGTTGCAAATATTTTTTTAAAATAATTTTAAAACTACATTCGAGGTGGAAGTTGACAGGAAAATATTTGTTTCCCCATATAACTGTTATCACACGAGAGACAAATATTGACGTTCGTTCTTGAAACAGGTTTTGGTATTATCGTCAGCTTAGTTGGTGATATGACATTATTTCTCTTGAAAATTGTTTCTAATCATCATGTTGAATCTGAATATTTTGCTCTGTTTCTGTTATCAGCCAAATTGCATTGTATTTTTTATAAGTCGCTATTCGTGCACATCTAACCTCCAAGCATCAGAAAATAAACAATAATAATAAACAATCACATTAGCGCAAATTGTGTTTCATAATGGCGATCATCTATGCGAATTATGTGGGGCGGCGGGAGGTATTGGATTCACAGTAAGATATGCTCGTTTAAGAACCAGTAAAAAATTACATGTACAACCAACTATGTGGTGATTTCTGTATGATTCTCATCAAAAACACGAAACAAATGAAAATGAATACACTGATATTGTAGGGGTACTTCGCAGAAAGTACAAACGAACAAATTCGAAAAATACTCGCTTAGTTGTGCAAATATATATACGAGGAAAGTTTTAATATTTACATCGCTTATTGTTTTTCTATTTTGTATTAATCCAGCAGATAATACTGTAGTTGTGTTTGTATACTTTTTGGAATCGGGCGGATTAATATACTGTATGGCAGTAAACATTTCAATCTTTCTAGCATTTTTTAGTCATACATACATCAGTTATTTGTTTTATGTACAAGATTAAATATGTTTGTGTAATTCAGATGCGAGACAGAATAAATACGGTTGACTTCTCAAATGTGTTTTAATGTTCTCCATCATCATTTCCTAATTTGTATGCTTTCTGTAGAAAGCCACATTTTGGATGACCATCAGACAGTACTGTCCCAACAATGGATATGGTTCAGTTTAACACTGTAACAGTGGATTTGATGATGTCCATACGACATTACAGTCAAGCAGTGCAATTCGAGACTGTCGTTCATTTGCATTTGATGTTAATTTACATGCGTCTATGCTTACGTTTCACAACCCTGTATTATTAAAACAGGGCATATCTAAGATTTTAACATACCTTTTAGAGTTGATTGATAATAATGATTTAATAATTGCAAATTGTTGAATTATGAATTTACTTTACCCATCTGGTTGTCTATTTCAAACGAATCTTCAAAGTTAATGGCTTGAGATATTTATCGGACCACTGCGCCACTGCATTGTCATTACCTGTGGATTTTAAAACAATTTCTGAGTGCCTGAAGGCACCTACTGCCAAACCTATTTGGGAAGATGTTTCGAAAACTCAAATTCCGAAATGTCTTAAATCATCAATATATACAAAATGTTTTTTTAAACCAAAACTTTATTGATGTATTTATTGATGAGGCTGCTGAACAACTTTCTATTTTTAATTTCAGTTGCTGACAGCAGCACAAAAAAGACATGAAAGGAAACGACACAAAATTGAGAGAATTAATCGACCATGCTATAATAAAACTTGTTACGAAACAATATCACTATATTATATATATAAAAAAACAGAAAAACAACAACAATACAGATATACATTAAATGGCAGGAGTAAATCTTTGATCTGTGTCGTCACAAAGTATTCCATTTATTAGGCAATTATGGCTGAATTTAAAGCCATCGGGATGAATTTAAAATAAATAAATAAGACGTTATGATAAAATTCCTCCCGTTTTCTACATTGCGAACAATCTTCGTTTACTGATTTTGACAAGTGAATTCACAAATAAATGAAAAATATTTCAAAACGAAATGAATTCAATAATAATTGTATCTTCGTCTGTAAAAAACAAAAGAATTTCCCAATGTCAAGTCTTTATTGTTGTGTAAACACTATTACAATTGTAAGCAGACTTTTAGTGTAGTTTATACTTACGTATGAAAGGTAGTCTATGATGCGCACATACCCGTACTGATGTCAACAACTCTCAAAATAACCTTCTGACCTTGAACAACAGAGGGCGCTATATCAAATCCAGGGAAACTAGTGTACAGCACAGGCCGGAAGGAAGTGAAAATCACTATTTCGACTAAATGCAATTGTGTTAATCATTAACTAGATTTACCTGTGCACATAACTCATCTAAAGCTTTGGCTGAAACTTATGTATGTACAGTAGTTATACGACCAGTGTTCTGTCCTCAATAACATTATCTCGACGGCAAATCTACATTAACAATGGAAACTCTTGGCTTACTACTGTCGTTAACGTTCTGTTGCCTTGCACTCACTGTCACAGGTATGTATTCACGGCGTATGTATTCTTCTGTCTTCAAATTACGTGTTCTTGACCCAACAGTTTTCTAAGATTGTCAGACACTATCGATTATGGCGCAAACATGTACTGTTGCAGTAACAGTACATGAAATGTATAACGGGTATCTCAGGTGCATAGTACCAGTGTGTTATATATTCACTAAAAACATTTGTTTTTATTTGACACAACTGAAATGTAAGATTTAAGTTGTACACGATTTACTGATTTAAAGTGACAAAACATTCAGTAAGAGCCACAACAACTACACTCAGTTAACAATTGTGTTCAGTCTTATTTTTGTAACTGTTCCGCCCGGCATAACACCCCAAACCTTAAATTTGCTTAAATATTTATTATGACATGGGTTTGGTATTACACTACAGTACTGTAACATATTATATAGTGAACAGTCTCATTTAAAATGTATGTTTCCCCACTATAGAGGTAAAAAGCGATTATTGCTACGGTTATTACGACTCCGATGGTAATTATACAGAAGGCTTCTACTGTCCCAAAACGGTTAATTCAAGCTCTGAGGCAGGGTATAATTCCAGCTCTAAAACATACTGCTGTCAGTCAAGTACCGACAAATACTGTTGTGATTATGACGATTGGTTGTCTGATGGAGTATCTGATGTCGTTATTTGCGGGTGAGTTATTATAACATTTTTGAGAGAGATATCCGAATCGCCTGGACCAACGCAATAAAATATGTGATAGTCGTACTTTTTTGAGCAGGAAACCTACGAAAACTCTACCACAGTACAATGCTAGTCTCGAACTTCTAATAGCGCATACGGGTGGTAGTTGGGAATTACATAAATTCTACAATTAGTATTGTTTTGCCCATATATACAGTTGTTGGTGTAATTGCAGGATGCTTGTATGCACGGCATACCTTTACGCTTCGTCATATAACTACTTGACCCCATTGGTACCAGTATACG